GGACACAGAAACCTGTGACACACACAAACAGTTCTCCTGGAGGGACAGAGAAACCTGTGGCACACACAAACAGTTCTCCTGGAGGGACACAGAAACTAGTGAAGTCACCTTCACTAGCAAGTAAGAAAAGTCAGTTTCTCACATAACCCTCAAAACAAAAGTGAAAACAAAACAAAAAAGTCCTCGGCAAAATGAGCTTTGAGCCCCATCTGTGTTTTCATGAATTCTGTTGAGTCCTGTGCCCCTCGTGTGTCAGTTAGAGACCTAAATCAGATAAAGATGGTCTGACATAGGGCAATCACTAAGTAGTCTCAGGGCCCATTCTGTCCTCAGAAAATGCAGCTTCATCAGGAGCTTTGCTTTCCGCAAGAGCTTTCTAAGGTGCTATCCATTTCTCTTTTCACCTTTCCCCCAGAGTCCCTGACCTCGGATGGTCTATTTCATCTAAACAACTTAGCTAGAAAGTGTACGATATATCCAACTCATTGCACTTGAATGCCTAAATACCATCTTAAATAAACAAACTATTGAGCAACTCAACAAATGTTCAATTCTTTAGTCTAAACTAGAGACCTCAAAGTTCCAATCTGTGACTCACACAGAAACGGGATCCAACCACTTGAATAAAATAAATAAATAGAGCTGGAGAGATGGCTCAGAGATTAAGAGCATTGCCTGCTCTTCCAAGGTCCCGAGTTCAACTCCCAGCAACTACGTGGTGGCTCACAACCATCTGTAATGAGATCTGGTGCCCTCTTCTGGCCTGCAGGCATACACGAAGACAGAATATTGTATACATAATAAATAAATAAATAAATATTATTTATAAATAAATAAATAATAGAGACCACATCACATTTCAGCTCCGTGGTCAATGAAATCAACTTATCACTCCCATGTATATAAAGAGTTTACCCTATTCAGCCAACAGAGGGTTGCAGTCCTCCACCGTGCCCCCCCACCACAGTGCACTACAGAAGCAGCGAGTTCTATCTAATGATTTACTCCCCCAAGTCATTAACTAGTGCCTGGTGACCAAGTATAAGGTTGAGCAGTTCGTGGCGGTTCTCTAATTATACTGCTCTAGAAACTCATAAAATAAACATAACAGTAATGAGAACTCTTCCAAAGGTCTGTTTAAAAGAAATGGTCTGGGGATAGAGGTGTAGGTCAGTGGTAGAGTTCTCACTTGCCATGCGCCGGCCCTGGGGTCCAAACCCCTGCCCCTGAAAAGTTCTTATGGAACCAATAACTTGAAAAGGTTGTTGGGCACGGCGGCTCACAAGTAGCACTTACGAGGCTGATGGAGGAGGATTATCATGAGCTGAGGCCATAATTAAGTTACAGGACAGCCAGCGTCAGGGCACCTTAAAAAACTCCATCCACCCATCAATCAATAAGCAAACAAGGTAAGCAATACAAGGCATCCCTTTGAGCAGGGCAGACAGGATTTCTGCTGTATGAAATGGAACGTGACACCCAACTGACATTTAGTTATCTTCTCAATCCCATCAAACTGAAAGCTGCCCAGTCACACGGAGAGGACCACTCCCCAAACCACAGAGTTGCCGGCTGACTTTGGATGCCTAACCTAGGTGAGAAACTTATGGCCAGGCCTACCTTCATGTCCCTTGAGGGTTGTGATCACTGAACAGGCATTCTGCTCCAGCTTCAGCAGGGTGATCTGTCCCGAGTAATCGCCAACAAAGGCATGCTGAGTATCCAGGTCATACCTGAGGAGCAGTCAAGGACAGGTGACAGGAGCCATCTCAGCACATTCCCACATTCCCACAGAGCAAGTAAGAGCGGCCAAAGACAAAGACTTCACAGAGAACTCAAGCATTCTACAACAACGACCACAGATCTGAAATAGCGACGTGAAAGACGAGTAAATAGCAAGGAAGTGACAGGCACACGCTGAAAGAAAAGCTAAAGCAGCTATAGGAAAGCTGGCTCCCAGCCAACAGTTAATATGCCGAGGGCAATAGTACAGGAACCAGCCATGAAAAAAGTCAGAGCTCATAGAGATGACAGATAGGCAGTTCCAAAAAAATTACAATAAAACATTAAATAGTGAAAATGACAAACATACACATGTACACACACATACACAATGCAACAGGATGTCATTTGCGAAGGAGTTCTGAAAACAATGCCATACTGACAGCAAGTACAGACTCATGTTCTTTTGGCAGAGATAATCTAGCTTTAAATGAAGACAACGGCTTCCTTTAACTTAAGGTAGCTCCATAACCCAGATATCAGCTCTCCGGGGTGGTCACCAGCGTGAAGCGTATTAACTAACATAATAACTCATTCCTCGCTCCCTCTGGAACCACAGACATTTGTAGAAAGTCAGCACCGCATACAAAACAGCAGAGCAACGACTAATATTCTAGAACACAAAGTCAGAAGAGCTACAAGCCAGGCCATGACCGTGATCTCGTGTAATGTTCTGCAAAGCCATTAGGAGAGCTCTCGCTTATGACAGAAAAGCTCACTTAAAGCCAGGTAGTGGTGGCGCACGCCTTTAATCCCAGCTGTCAGCAGGCAGAGGATGGCAGATCTCTGTGAGTTTGAGGTCAGCCTGGTCTACAGAGCAAGTGCCAGAACAGGTGTCAAAGCTAAAAAGAAATCCTGTCTTGAAAAACCAAAAGAAAAAAGGGAAAGAAAGAAAGAAAGAAAACCTCACTTAAAATACATGAACACTTCTCCCTTGTGGGAGCCTACACTGTATAGTACTATGCTAAAGGTTTATTTTAAATAGCTCATGTTATGCATTCATTGGCAACAAACTAAGAAAAGTAATTTTATATTGTGTGTGTGAGTGTGTGCTAGTGAGGTGCACCATGGCACCATGAACTACCTAGGGTGTTGTTCATGGTCTTCTTGTCATCACTGGTGCATACAGCAAGCAGGGGTCACCTGAAGCAGAGGTGAGCTGTGTGCAAAACAACTCGCATAGAGCCAGAAAGTTAAAGCAGGGATTGCCTTCATCTGGGGAACCCAAGGCACCCGTGAGAGTTCTCTAAGGATCAAAGGCCCTTTTCACAACCATTTAAAAACAAAAAACAAAAAAGGGCGTTGCTGTGGGATAATGCTCTTGTACACTGTAAAATTTTGCCCCTCGTACCAGTTTAATAAAATGCTGATTGGCCAGTAGCCAGGCAGGAAGTATAGGCCCGGCGACCAGACTAAGAGAATTCTGGGAAAAGGAAAGGCAGAGAGCAGTCACCAGCCAGAGACAGAGGAAACAAGATAAGAATTTCTTACTGAGAAAAGGTACCAAGTCACATGGCTAAACATAGACAAGAATTATGGGTTAATTTAAGTTCTAAGAGCTAATTAGTAGAAACCTTGAAGCAACAGGCCAAACAGTTTGTAGTTAATATAATTTCTGTGCGATTATTTCGGTCTGGGCGGCTGGGAAACGAAAAAGCAGTCTCCGTTTTCATGAAGTGAAGCTTTGTATAAAGTTCCTAGCAGTCCTCTTATAAAGCCCAGGGTAAGGAGAAGTTTTTCATTTTGTAATGAAAGGAATGAAGGGTTGGGCTTGCATTAACAGGGCTCTACAACTTTGTAGAAAAAAATTAATACCTCCCACAGAGAACATATTTATGTCTTTTTTTTTTTTAAAAAAAAAGGGAGGGGATGTTTTCAGGCGTAGCCTAGGAGCCTGTCCTGACACTTCTCTGTAGACCAGGCTGGCCTTGAACTCACAGAGACCCACCTGCTTCTGCCTCCTGAATGCTGGGATTAAAGGCATGCACCACCATCCCCCAACTTATGTCTTTACTTTTAACAGACATGCTTTAGACCAAAGAAAAGCAGACACAGAAATTCTTGGATTTGAGATTAAATCCACAGGAGTCATTCTGTCTTCAGAACAATCAATAATTCAATTCCAAATTAAACAGTGAGGTGGGAGTGGCGGGAAGGAGTACACTTCAAAGGATACTGCAAGCAGGAAGCCCAGGATGCGAAGAAGTGCCGGCCGAGCATGTTCCCACTGCGCGTGCACATCCAGCTCACACACTTGTCGTGGCCTGTGCTGATCACCCACTCGGCGGCCAAGCTGAAGATGATGGCGGACACTCGGTTCTGGTGGGCTGCAGGAGACAAACGGAGGGTCAGTGCCCGTCAGGACAGAAGGGATCTTCAGAAACACCTCCCCATGCTGGGTGAGAGTTGAGGCTCAACTCCCACAGTGTGCAGCCATGATCCCAAGAGACGCCAGACAATCTGCTTCTCCCCATCCCCACCATGCACTGGTACAGGCTCTCTCCAAAGTCCTGGGCCACCTCACATAGAGGGCTGCCAGAAACACTAAAGTTCTACGCTCAAAAAGGTTTCCAGTAACAGAAAACAAGAATTTCTCTTTTATCATTATCTGTCTGTGTTCAAAGGAACATTTTTATTTTTGCTCTGAAGACCTTAATATACCATCTCTATGTACAGTGGCAAATTTTTCTCAAGAGGGCAAAGGTGTATTTTAAGTGCAGATTACTTCATCCTTGCTCATGCCTTTCCCGTCATGACAGACAGACTTCATCCTTGTTCACGCCTTTCCCGCCATGATAGATGGATGGACCCTCACACCTTAAGACAAAATAACCCCTTCTTTCCTCTCTCAATTTGTTTTTTGTTAGGTCTTTGGTCAGAACAGCCAGAAAGGTAACCAGTATACCAGGCTAATATCTTTTTGTACTTATCTAATAGAAGATACACCCATTTCAAAACAAATCATTGTAAGATTTTTTTTTTATATAATACGGGCATTGTAAATAAGAATAATGTAATTTTGTGAAACTGAAAAGGAAGCCTTTTATGGAACAGTTTTGTGTATAACGATTTATTATTTATAAAGACAAAGTGTCTGTAAAGCCCTCCACTTAACCTCCGCAATGTTTCAGGTTGATTCTGGACACACCAAGGCATGGCACGACTCCTCTACATCGGGCACAAGACTCTGTACACAGCAGGTATCTACTAAATGCCCAAGCTGATGGATAAAGTTAAAGACCAAACAGAGAAAAGGCTACCACTGCTGTGTGAGCTGCTCAGAAGAACTGAGGGGCTCAGAGTGCCAGGGTGACTGTCAGGCACAGCCTGTGACAAGGCTCTACTCCCCAAAAGCCCTGAAACTTCAAGGGTGCTCCGCAGCTCCCAGCCATAGGTCCCCGTAAACCAAATCCCAGATGGTGACTGAGTGGGCTTTTTGTTTACTTTTTTCTGCTTTAACGATTGTTCTAATTTCCACAAACAAAGGGTATGTATTAATTTCAGATACAAAACCTGAGGGAGATGGCTTTTATTTATAGTCTACATCTTATAATTAAAAAAATATATAATTTGATCTGTCTGACCCCAAACACTTTTCTCACTAAATCTGTGGCCGTCAAACTGAGGTAAGACAAGGTTTATCCCAGCTCACAGTAAAGACCTCAGAATGACAGTCAATTACCTTTCTCAGCTGTCTTATTCGTAGGCTTAGATCTTTTTTGCTATTGTAGTTTTTCAGTATTTTCTTTTAGAAAAGAACGGTGAAGCCTGTTAATCCTTATCCTGTTTCACTCACGGCTTCCCAATTCTCCCACGTGGTAATATTTAAAATGTGGCAAACTATTCAGTCTTCCACATAGTTTTCTAGATGTTATAAGTCACCAGTAAAATGCAAACTCTAGAAACCACTACAAAATTATGCTGTATATAACCAGTAGAGAACTCTGAAAATTTAAATACAAATTTGATAAAATGTATATTTGACAGACGTTCCAAAGCACACCTTTTAACTCAGTTACAACACACAGTAAATCATAACGGACATTCACGGAAGACAAATGGCCAACCCTAAATAAAGTGAAGTCATTATAAAATTGCAAACACTCCTATCAAACTGGCACCAACTAATAAGGCAGCAATCTTAGGAAGATACAGCAAGAGAGAACCTTGCTCGCTCATTGGTCATGGAGCCGCAAGGAGTTGCATTTTTGTTGAGAAAGCAGTTTGCAAAAATAAAACTGTAGCATTAAAATAACTTTTTAGTTGTCTGACCTGGCTATTTGACTTGCAGGACTTTGTCTTAAGTAGAAGTCATCAAAATTAAACACCTAGAGTCAGTGTCGCAATCATGAACACACAGTCATGCATGCAACTGTGAATTACACCCACAGACATGTGCACATAGACACAAATGAAAGCATGTATATTGTACTGTATGTTAATTAAAAACTGGAAGCAGTGCACATCTTCTTCCAATAATAAAAGAATAATGAAATTAAATCTTGTACACTTAGCCAATATACAAACATTTAAATGCAGGAAGAAGGAAAGGATAATAAATAATATTCTTTCATATAACCGGTGCACTGACACGGATATGTTACATGGAAACCTACCTTCGATGTGTGTGGATTTAAATGTGTACACATGCGAGAGTGTGTGTCATTACCTGGATAGGTCTTGATAAAATTCATTTTATTAAAATCTTCAGAAACGTGAAATTCCTAAAAGCAAGCATATGCAATAGAAAGACAGTTACAGTTCTGTAAACAATAGGAGCTCAACTTGAAAAATGAATCAAAGTCCAAAAAAATGCTTGTCAGAAGGCATGGCACTCAAGATGAGCTACAGAGGGGATGTGCACTGCTCCTCCCAGAAAAGCTGTCTTCGGGTCATCATCCTTTAGGATGAATCAAACAGCTGGAATCCTACAAAGAAACTGCTGCTGGCCAGCTCAGCAAGAGTCCAATACTTCTTCCAAGTTTGCTAATTTTGCCCCTTTGACTATGCAAACTAAATTAATAAACCTCTCAAGACAATTCGTAAGGAGCAAATGTTAAAGATCTGTTGTCAACATTGCTGATAACTTACAGGAAAGACATGGGGGAAGGCTCGGCAATTTAATGAGGAAAATGAGCATGTTGTGTGCATAAAAATACCTTCTAAATCACAAACTTTTGTGGAGAGCCGCAACCACATTCTCCATTGCTTCAGGGAACAAAGGTAGAGATTGACCTCTGTGACCTCAAGGTGTGGCGGTACACGCCTTTAGTCCTGATGCCTGGGAGGCAGAGGCAGATTGACCTCTGTGACCTCAAGGCGTGGTAGTACACACCTTTGGTCCCAATGCCTGGGAGGCAGAGACAGGCAGATCTCTGTGAGTTCAAGGTGATGTAGCACACGCCTTTAATCCCAGCGCGTGTGCTTGGTAACTCTCTACTGCTGCGTCCCTGCCTACTTCCGAAGCATCATCTGGGATAATGGGCAGCAGACCAATCCAAGAGTGACACGTCAGAAGCGAGGACTGTTTCCTTTATAAGGGCTGGGTTCCCCTCATTCTGGGTCTCCGCTTTGGAAGCTGATGCTCTCCCTCTCAAGACGCATTAAAGCTTTACTGCAGAAGAATCCTAAGTGCCCCGCGTCGTTCTTGCGGGCAAGAAGGTAGCGCGGGGCAAACTTTAGAGACTATGGAGGGTCTTTGGACATTCTTATATTTTTCAAATAACTACGAGAAAAAAACACTTCTGTAATAAAAAGAATCAAAAAATTCAAAAGAATATGCACTAATTAAGAATCCTATTGATCAGTGTTAAATTGTTAAGGTGCTATGTAATGCAGACATTATAAACTGTAGACTCATTTAGAGTGAGAAAACCACACACACACAAAGGAATTCAGGCTTCCTGTCCTCCATCTGGCTTTGCTGGGTACCAAAGGCCATCAGCACTGCAAATCAGAATCCAGACAAGGCGGCCAGCCCAGAGACCAATTGCTGACTACTGCTGTCCCTTTCTGCTGCAACTACCGCCTTCACATGCTGTAACTGCAGCCTGTTCCTCAACCAAAAGCCATCGCGAGACGCACACACTGCAGCCTGGAGAAAGTGCTCTCTTCCCACACTGTGGGTTTACCTCACGTGGCTGTGTGCATCATCATGACAGCCCTACAAAGTCACTGGAAAAAGCGGGGCAGAGCTCTGCCAGCCGTTGCTACACTGTGTGCAGAGTGGCCTTCGCCCCTGCCAATCCTGGGTCAATGATAGGGCAGCAGCCCATTCTTCCTTTTGACTCTTTCTTCGCCGCCGTTAAACAGAATCATGGCATCTTTGCATTAAAGTGCAGATCAACTAAAACAACAATGAAGATCTTTGACCTACACAACAAGACTCTTTCTTCATTTTCTTTCCAGCAAAACCCCTTTCTTACGCTCAGCCCTTACAATCACCCTCAGGCTTTCCCACTATGGTCCCTTCTTTACTACTGTGCTCCAAACGTCTATGTCTGCAAGGAGAATGTGTTCCCTCCTAGCCCTGGCTCTGCCTTCTTCTATCTTTCTATCTTTCTACCTACCTACCTACCTACCCACCCACCCATCTATCTACTTACCATATCTATCTATCTATCTATCTATCTATCTATCTATCTATCTATCTATTTTTTAAGCAGGCATATAAAATACTAAATAATCCCTAGGAAATTTTCAAACACACTTTGTTTTGACAGTTCTCCCCCCTGCACCATTTCTTCCCCACCGCCCCGACCTCCCTTGGCGCACCCCACCTTTAGTCTCTTCCTTCCTTCCTGACCTTTGTGTCTGTGCCCACCCCATCCTTCCTCACTGTGTCTGTGCCCACCCCATCCTTTCTCACTGGCTATCTCATTGCTTCCTGGCTTCTTAAGCTGTACTTACTTTCATCCGTTCATACATAAACACATGTTGCCCTTCTCAATACAGCTTGATCTCAGTCTCTCTCTGTTGCCTGTGTTTTTTGAACTCACCATCTCCCTGCTCCCTCCTCCAATTGCCACCAGAAGCCTTTTCTTCCTCAGGAAATTGCACCACAGCCTATGTAATTCAAGCCCCAAATCTGGTGTCACCTGACATCTTCCACTGTCCTCTCAAACTGTACCTACAGCAAACATGGCAGGAGGCGTCCTAAGTCATCTGTCCACTTCTGAGGCCACTGTCTTTGAGCCCAGATTCCTGGTTGCCATAGTAACTTGACTTTCCTTTCCATTCTTGTTACTCTCCAAACCAGTCTCCATAGTCAGTCACTTAAGATAATTACCAGGCACAACAATATAAGTGGTGCCTAGAATCCCATCCCTCTAGAAGGGTGAGGTGGGAGATCATAGGTCTGAGGCTACACAGTCGGTTCTAAGCCAGCCTGAGCAGTGTAGTGAAATCCTATCTGAAAGAGGTGGAGGAGGAGATGAATCACCTCACATTGCTTTCATGACCTGGCTCCTGTCCACAGTTCAGTTATGCCTGGGCCCTTCCTCTATCATTCAGTACCAACCAGCCAAGATCCCCGCCTCCACCACAGACCTGTGCCACCTCAAGTCTTGACTAAGCTTCCACCTCTGGAAACCGCTGGCTGGTTGTGACAAGGGTGCCAAGTAAACACAGTGGGAAAAGACAATACGCCCTGGGATAGCTTTGGGCATCCACATGCCAAAGAAGTAAGTGTGAAGCCATCCCTCAGACCAGCTACAGAACTTAACTAATAATGGGGCCAAGATTTAATACAAAACTAAAGTGTAAAACTCCTACAAGAAAAGAGAAGTGTAATGGGCCTGTGCCTACGACAGGCTTAGGACATTATGACATTCAGAGGGATATGGCCACAGATTAATTTACTCCTGTGAAAATAGGAATAAGACCTTGAGCCAAGTAATTAAAAGTGTTTAGATATTGTAGTCAAAGTACAAGCAACTAAAAGAAAGTAAGAAAAGAGAAGATAAATTGGACTTTACAAAACTTAAACATGATTGAAAAGACAACCCTTATGGTAAGAGAGGTTTTTGCAAATTGTGTATCTGATAGGAGTCTAGTATCTAGCACTAAATAAGAACTTACAAACCAAACCCAGGGCACCAGATGGTGACATATACTTCTAAGGTCAGCGCTTTAAAGGTAAGGCACTAAGGTGGCAAGTTCTTGGACAGCTTGAGCTATAAAGCAAGGTTCTCTCTCTCTCAAAAAAAAAATAAGTTAATTAAAAATGGGCAAAGGAATTTCTGAAATGTTAAATAGTCACCATATGACCCAGAAATTCCATTCCTATATATCCAGCAAACTGAAGAATGCAGGTTCACACAGGGACTTAAACACAATGCTACAGTACCAGTGTTCTTAACAGCCCACATGGAAATAATCCCAATAACAATCAACCCATCAATGGATGAAGTGGAATTTCTCTATCTAGGAGAATATTCTGTCTAGAACATCAGTCTACCACAAAAAGGGATAAAGTAACGAATCAAAACTTCAACAAAGAAGACCCCTCAAGACACACATAAGGAGCTACACACAGAACATGACTCTGTTCACACAATACATGGAGGACAGACAACTCCCCATTCAGAGAAAGCAGATCAGAGACAGTCAGATGGGGGAGGTGTACCAGGGAGCAACTGCCAAAGGAGACAAACTTTCTTTGGGGGACGTGAAAATATTCTGAAATTAGGAAATGGTGATGCTGACATAATCTGATGAAGATCCACAACACTATAAACCACTAAAATGTACATGCACCAATATGGTGCATGAGTTACATTTCTATTAAGAAAATGAGTAGATATGCACACACAATTAAATTGAAAAAAAAAAAAAAACCACCAGTCAGTAACAGACCGAAAGTTTAAATATCCCATCCTTCACCAAAGGTTGTTCGAGTCACAAGAGTTCCCGGATGAAGAGTTGGGCCCCTTCTCAGCTGTCTTTCACAGAAACACACACATACACAGGTTCTCCACTACCCTGTCAAAGACAGCAGCAGCTACAGGTCTCCAACCCACTGTAAAAAGTCTGCGCTTTGTGGGTCACCAGAGCACCAAGACACTCATCAGGAGAGCATTTTGAGATCCATGGAAAATAGTTTATAGGAATTAAATTGAACTCATTTTCAGTCTAACATCTACGATGAATCAGACATTGCTAATGCGAACAATGTGCTCAGCACAAGGAATCGTGGGGTAGCCTTACAAAGGACACATTGAATACATCGGAGACGCTACCTACCATTATAGCCCCATTATCCTGGCCCACAAATATCCGTCTGCTGTCGTGGTGATAAGCCATAGTAGAGCAGGGAGCTGCCAAAAAGACAAAGACCACATTGTGAGAAAAGCTACATACTGGAAGCCATTTTTAAAAGCATATTATTATTAAGAAGAGTTATGTGGTTTAGGTTTCAAAAAATAGACAAAATGCTTTATGAAAAATAAATTGCACATATTAAAAATGTAACTGGAGTTCCCCATGGCTTAAGTTTAAAAGTGGAACTCTGTGAGTCATTTCACAGCTGCTTTTAGAACTCTGGGTGAAGTCTGCCAGCAGGAAGTCTCGTCTTCATGGAACTCCTGTTGTAGTACAGATGCCTCTGGGAGTCAGTGCTTCTGGGCATGCTCTGACATCCAGACGCTCACACACACTGCCCTGCCATCCTTCCCCAGGAAAGACCATGATTAGTTGACTTTAAAAATGAAGGGTACTGGCACGAGAATTCCAGTCCTGTGACATAGGTGAGCAAGCTAGGAACCTCACCGTGGGATTACTCTTTTCCCAAGAGAAAGGTAAGAACTTCTCCCCTTTGCAATAGCACACAACCCATTTGCAATGTGTGCTAAGCAGAGCTGAGACTGCATGGGATAGCATTGACCTCTTTTGTGCATGCACCCATTATGGCCAACCCATCCCTCTTACAGGGATCATGGGCAACAGAAACTTCTTAAGCAGGAAAATCTCCAAATTGTCTTCTAAAAATCAGAACAACTGTGATTCCTAAAACTCAATATTTGGAGACATAACTGTTTGGGTTCATGTCGCATAAATAATTTTAACTGGCAACCAAAGATCCACAACATGAAAATGCATGCCAGGGGGACATAAACCAGATGTATGTGACTTTGAATTGAAATTGCTTATCAAAAATAAAAAAATAAAGGAAATCTGGGCTGGGTGGTGCAAGCTTGCAACTGAGCGTTCAGAGGGCAGAGGGAGGAGGATCACAATTCAAGGCCAAACTGCCTACACAAAAAGTTCCAGGCCTGCCTGGGGTACATGCAGAGTGACACAGTGTCAAATCCCAAAGGAAAAGTCAAAGAAAATAAAACAATCTTCCAAAGGAAGTTAGCACTTGAGGTTTTCTTACTCCAATGGGCTTATACTTTTTTTGGCCTTATTTAGTGTGTGTGTGTGGGGGGGGGGTTTACTTATTCGTGTATATGTATGAATGTGCAGCCAGACCTAGACTGGGTGTCTTTCCTTGATCTCTCTCTACCTTTATGTTTTAAGACAGGGTCTTCTCACTGAACCTGTAGCTGACCAAATCAGCCAATCAGTTGGCTTCGGAGATCTGCCTGTTTCCACCTTTCCTCTCCTCTGCACCGCATCAATGGCGCTGCAGAATAACAGCATTGTGTCTGGCCCTTCATGTGGGATCTGGGGATCTGGACTCAGGCTTCTGTACTTGTGTGACAGGCACTTTGCTGACTATGTAAAATCTCCCAAAGCCCTGGGCTCATACTCTGCCAAAGAAAGCATCACACAGAATTGTACCCAAAGACAACAGGAAGATCACACTAGGGAAGGACGGGAAGGTCACACTAGGGAAAGACAGGAAGGTCACACTAGGGAAGGACAGAGGTCACACTAGGGAAGGACGGGAAGGTCACACTACGGAAGGACTGTCTCAGTAGCATTCTAGATCTCTGCAGGTGAAAGTGGACACTGGCATTGGACACAACTCAATCAGATGTGTGTGACTCTGAACTGGTTTTAAGTCTGTATATTCCTGTATCTATATTTTAAATTTATAATATATAATCTCATGTTTAATAATTATATCCTCTACCAGGCATGGTGGTACATGCTTAAATTCCAAGACCCAGGAGGTAGAGGTAGGAGAACTTCTGTGACTTTTAGTCCACCTTGGTTTACATAGGGAGTTTGAGGCCAGCTACATGTACAAAGTAAGGCTGTCTGAATTAAAAAATGATTATAACCACAAAGATATATTGTTCTACACACACACACATTCAGACACACCAACCTCAAGCAATTAAAGCAATTATCAGTTGCTTTGATGATTTAAAAGATTCATGTTACCATTTTTTTGTTGGTCAGCTGATGATAAATTTTGATGTTGGCTTTAAGCCTCATTTCTTCTGATGCCTGACACTATCCTAAAACTGCATACATATGTAAAATTACTCATTTGTGTAATAAGGTCAATGTGCTGATTAACTTTATGACTCTAGAGATTTGTTCACTGATTATTATTAATGTCTTGTGTGTATGGTGGAGGGCACACACGTGCCACAGTGAACACGTGGAGATCAGAATGGCAACTTCTGGGAGTTCCTTTCTCTTCCCACTGTGGGCTCCAGAGAACAACCTGGGGTTGCCAGGCTCATGGGCCATGTACTTTACCCACTGAGTCATCTCACCAACCCCAGAATTTTTTAATTAGAAAAGCTTCCCTAGTTTGGTTTTGATATTTTGGAATACCCTGGCTGGTTTTTGTTTATTTGTTTTCTCTGTCTTCTTCTAGAAGAGAGGTTTCTCCTGGGATAAGCAATGTACAGTTTAAAAACCAGGTGGAGGGGTCAAGTACTCACACAGCTTACAAACGGGAAAAACACAGGCCATCTTTCAAATTAATGGCAATATACACACAAAAGGCAGCCGTGAGTCTGAGATCACACATGTAAAACTCAGATTACAGCCTTTGGCGCTAGACTCGGCCGGACGCCCTCACTGCTCGCTGATGCTTTTGTACCCTAGTGGCACAGCAGAGGAGCTGCTGTAGACTGTCTGGCCCATGGAATCTCAACACTGCCTTTATGATCCTGTGCATAAAACACTGTGGATCCACCTCATCCTTTCAGTGGACAGCACATTCCTTCAGTCATAAACAGGTGTGGATTAGAATTACAGCCACCAGCATGGAGCGGGTGACCAGCTGTCCAAAGCTCTTGGAAGGTCTAACACTGATAAACCACTAACTTTTGGCAGAAATTATTACAGGATCCAAATACTCCTGTATTGGATCAAATACACGCGATGAAAACTTGGGAAAAGGCTGAGCAGAGTGGCTGGGAAGGCTGACTCCCACCACATGAACTGTGCTGAATAACCGCTGACCCATACCGGCGCAAACCTGACAATTTTGGGATTCTTCTTAGGAAAGCTGTGACCAGTGTCAACAGTCACCAGGACAACGGTCAGCAGCCGCTTATGGAGGAACTTCACAATGACCTTCAGTAACAAACCATTAAGCGCACAACAAATCCTTTTCTTTTCCTAGAGGGTCATCTGACCACCGAAGCCCTTAATTCAAGGAACTCCCTCATTAAGGAACAGCGCCTCAAGGAGTCCCACAGTTGTGACTGGTCACTCAGGAGTTAGGAGCTAAGCTCCCATTACAAAAAGGCCTGTGTATTCCGCATACTCCTGCAGTGTGACTAGCCTTTGGCTTGATGCTTTTACTGTCTTCCTTCCTGCCCCTCCTGTCATGGAGAAGTGAGGCCCAAGGTGTAAGCAACACTTTCTAAGTAGAAAATTTCCTCAGAAGCTGTCTCCCTTGTGGTTGTTTGGGAAAGAAGGAATCACCTCCCACTTGGTGTTAAGGTGGAAGGCACCCAGGCCTTTTCTGCTGGGCTTTGTCTCAGAAAAGCTGAAGAAAAGAAGAAAGATATACACAGATATGGCAATGTCATGGTATATACTTTGGCTTGAGGATGTATAGGTGATTCCATGTCAGGATAGCCTAAGAGGCAGGGTCTCAGGTAGCCCAGGCTGGTCTTGAACCGTGCTATGTAGCTATGGGCAACCACGCCCAGCTTTATGCTCTGCTGGGTACTGAACTCAGAGCTTCAGGTATGCTTAGCAAACCCTCTACCAACTGGGCTACACGCCCAGCTTCTGGGAAGATTCTCCATTTACAAAGTGTTGTTCTTTGGTGCACATCTTCCTACAACACCGGGGGACAGTGAAAAGAACAGGCGAAAGGCTGGTCACAGCCACAGGTTGAACCACGGCGTATGGAATACACAGGTCTTTCACAGTGGTGCATGAGCCCCAAACCACTGAGTGAAAGGGACTGCTGGAGGCCATGAGAAGGCTCGGCATTCAGAGGCATATGCTGAAAACCTGAGTCTGATCCACAGTACCCACGTGGCAGACGGCAAAGAGTCCACACTTCAAGTTTTCCTCCAACCTCCAAATATCGGCCAAGGTATGAGCACTTACTAAGGTATTAACACTTACTAAGTAACTGTAAAAATAATTTTTCTGAAGTCATTACTGAGTTAAAGCTGAACAAATGAGCACAAAGAAAAATGGCCCTTTTCCTGTTTTGTTTTTTTAATCCTTTCTTTTTTCAATTTTGGTCCTGTGTCAGTTAGGCTGGTAGACCAACTGCCTCTGTCAAAGGAGTTTTCCTGTGGTTTATGACCGCCTGTCAGAGGTCTTAGGCAACAAAGGAACTCATTCCGAAATCCAGCGGCCATTTTTAGCCAGGCATTTTGAAATGAAGTCATCAAAGGCATCAGAAACAAGGCCCTTAGGTGCAGAAGTCCGTGACTTACAGGCCATCGTGTGGTAGATGCTGGGCCAGTACTGGCCACTGTCTCTTTTCAGCCATACTCGGATGGTTCTGTGGAGACAGAGACGGAAAGAGCAGTGCTTAGTCGTTACCTGGACGGAAGTGATCATCATCTAATACTATAAAATCATGCCGATGCCAAGCACATGCAGATGCTGCCGTCTTTAAACATCTCTACCTGTGGCATCTGACTCCCCGTATACATTAATTTTACTTCACACAAGCACCAGTTCACCACTCTCCAGACTCAGTGCACAGCGAGGCAACAGAGAAAATTGGCCACAATCACAATGCTTTAACAAAGGCTTATTCTCCAAATGAACATAAAAGATGTCCATGTCATGAGAATGGTCATCCTTAGTGGTGCATGAAATGGGGTTGTCTTCTTTGTAATTCAGGACAATTTTGTTTTTAATTTTAAAAATTCAACATTTTCCAATTGATCTTACAAAGTTATTCAAAGGGAAATACATATACCCAGATAAAATTTAGTATATTATATATGGTATACATACTTACATAATATGTATCACACAGTATGATCATATTAAATTATATAATACCTAGCAGTCAGGATTTCAAATAATTTTAATAACGTAGAAATGTTCATTGTATAATAACTTAAAAAGGAAGCTGAAAATTATCAACTACTTTCCTGGGTAAAACAAACTGTGCCAACAAAGTCACATGACTGTCTCACCAGGGGACACTGAGGAAAGCAGTGGGCACACAAAGAAAGAGCTGGCTGCAGGGACACAACCCCCTGCAATCCCAACACTTGGAAGGCTAAAGCAGGAGGATGATCATCATGAATTAAAGGCCAGCCTAGAGCACAAAGGACCTCATCCCACAGAAGCAAAAACAGAAAACATGAAGTACCACGCTTATGGAAAAGCAGTATGGGACTGGGGAAGGAAGGGGGTGAAGGTGCCTCGCTCAGTGGGAGGCCTCGCTCTGCCCTGGAGGAAACTGTCTCACACTGTGTCTCTGGCCTCTCTTTCATCAGAACACACACAGGGCTGTGAGGAAATCCTGTGGGTGCAGGAAAGTAACAAATGAGCCACAGAGCCAAAGGGCAGCATGTGTGTTCACTGAAGAAGGAGAAACAACAGGGCCAGAGGGGACCACTCCTGCCTTTGCAGAACCCCTAAGCCCAGCTCTTCTGTCCACCTAGTCCCCTCTGGGTAACTGCATTCTATTGGTGTGTGCTTTGCTCACAAGTTTCTTGTCATCTACTGCCATTCTTTGACAATCATGTTTATATTTCTAATAATGGGCTGGCAAGGTGCCTCACTGAGTAAAAGTGTTTGTCATCTAGAATGAGGATCTGAGTTCAATCCTTGATACATAGTAGGAGAGAACTGACTCTCGGGGGTTGTCCTCTGACCGTAGCCATGCCAGTCACACACCCACACAGATATACACACACAAACACAAAGATGAAAGAATAAGAGTATATTTCTTTCTTTCCTCCTTCTTTCCTTTTTTGTTTTTTGTTTGTTTGTTGATTTTTTGAGACAGGGTTTCCCTGTAGTTTTGGTACCTGTCCTGGAACTAGCTCTTGTAGAAAATGATGGCCTTGAACTCACAGAGATCTGCCTACCTTTGCCTCCCGAGTGTTGGGATTAAAGCCATGCGCCCCCACTGCCCAGCTAAGAGTACATTTCTAATAGCAACACAACAGTTGACAAATATTGCTAAATTTAGACAAAAATATATAAAAAGCAGTGTTGATATATATTGCCATCTGTTCATCTAGTTATTTCTTTCTCAAGTTCAAGACAAGTTAAATTGTTCTATAGGAACAAAACTCAAGAGCGGCTGATTGACTCTGGGGAAGGCGGCAGATTCTAGAGGTGTGAGGGAAAGAACATGGCTAGGCTCTAGGGTTGGCGGCCAGAGCTGTGTCCATACAGAACATGTCCCACACTCTCAAGATCTGCATAGATCACTTGTGTAACTAAAAGGCAATTCACACGGGTCATCTGCATTTACCAAACAGATGACAGGATGACACGGTACAGAACCCCATTTCATGTATGTCTCAGGGTCAATGGAATCTGATGAGATTGCGAGATTCAGCTACCAGGTTGAGCACACAGGGAGGACAGAGGGACAGAAGAACCTGTTAAAACACTGACAAAGGCACTTCAGAAAAAACAAGACTGTGGGCAAGTCTACACACAAAAGACCCAAATCCTTCGACATATAATTTGGAAGGGAAAAGAAATAAAATGGGAGACAAGCTTAATAAATACAACAAATATACAATGTGTTAATTTGTATCTAGATTAAAAACCTATAAAATTATATGCATAAAGTAATCAGAAACATGAACAGCAGTAGATATTTGCTGATATTAAAATTACTATATTTTATTTAGGTGTAAGAGTTGTAATTATGTCACTGTGTAGGGTTCCTTTGTTTCAGTCTTGGCTTTTTGGTTTGGTTTGTTTTGACATGGTCTTCTTACTACAATGTTACCAGACAGGCTCAGGCAGGATTCTCCTACTTTAGGCTTTGGAGTTTTGGATTACAAGTATGTACACCAGGCCTGGTGAACTGTTTTGTTAAGAAACAAACAATAATTCCTAAGTATCACGCGGCCCTTTCTTGGGCATCCTCGGCTTGGCCACCAGAGTCCAGGGCCTTTTCACTTCCTCCCTAGTCTCATCTCATGTTACCTTCTGGTCTCTTTCCCAGCTGCAGCTCACCTCCAGCACACCCAATACCAATCTCACCTTCCAAGGAGTCACACCGCCCACTGCTACTATGTTCAGCATCCAACGGTGATGACCTTCAACCCAAGACAAACTTAGTTCCTGAAACTCCCCAGCTCAGGCCCCGAAACCCAACGAGTTGGTCTATTTCAAGTCTCCATATGGTTCTCTCAGGTTATGCCCAAGCTGGCCTCCCTCACCACTCTACCGTGAACTATTCATTCTCTACTGGTCCTTCTACACAGATGGTAGGTTGGATATTATTTCAACACAACTCTTTCATCTAAAAACTCAATGCAGGTACACAAGAATTACCCTTAGAACTGATTCACAAAAGGAGCCTTACCTGTGCTGACTATACTTCATGTTCTTGAAATCAGAAATGCTATGGCTACATTTCAGCAAAATAGATGAAGCCAAAGCAGAGTAGTAAGTTCAAGACCAACTCCAAGGGGAGTATTAAGTCCATTTGATAATATACCCTCCTGTCCAAATTCAATGTACAAAGGTCACACTTGAAGATCACGTCATGTTCCATTAGGTTCTGCTTTAAGCTTACTAACTTTATTTACAACATGACCACCAAAGGTTTAAATCTGGCAGTTAACCACCATCAAGATTTTTAAGTCAAACGAAGAAGATAATGTTGATAATTCACTAAAACTCTGCCACCGCAAAGGCCATGGAGTTAGTGGGACACACTTTTCCCTTTGAGCTCAGAAAGGGCAACATTGACATCAGCAGTGAGGAAATAATCCACACACCTTCAGAATGGTATTAACCTAGACCAAGGCCACACTCAGATCACCCTCAGAAGGACTCCAGCATTTGGAAGACAGGGTTTCTCTCTGCAGCTTTGGCACCTGTCCTGGCACTCTCTGTAGACCAGGCTGGCCTCGAACTCACAGAGATCAGCCTGTCTCTGCCTCCCAAGTGCTGGAATTAAAGGTGTGCGCTACCCCTGCCCGGCTGCCATTTTCTTTGTAGAACCAACACTTACAACTTGTCGGCACAAATCCGACCTTGGCTAGGACCCAATCAACAAGCTAGGGAAATTGAAACTTTTACCATAATCCCCTTGAAAACTGCTTATCATGAAAAGACAGGGAAAGCCAACCTCACTGGGAATTGGGCTCCAAGCAGGCAGTGGACTTTGGCTTTATGTCCACTACCCAGAGTTCTCTTCTTCAAACCATCCCATTCTTTAACTTTCTGTGCTGCTGAGGTCTTCTGTGTCTATGGTTCAATCAAACCAGTATCAAACCAACATTAAATTGAATCCCTAATACCCCAGGAGCCTCAAGAATCTGTACGCTAAACAAAGTTTTCCAATGTCTACAAGCTACATGGGAATTTGCTTCATAGTATGATCAAAGTGTTTCTCCTTACCTTAATGGGGTTATAAAAAACAGGCTTCAACTGGACTAGTTATTTTCTTTATTTGTTTGTTTGTTTGTTTATTATGTGTACAACATTCTGCCTCCACGTGTGCCTGCATGCCAGAAGAGGGCGCCAGATCTCATTACAGATGGTTGTGAGCCACCATGTGGTTGCTGGGAATTGAACTCAGAACCTCTGGAATAGCAGCCAGTGCTCTTAAGCACTGAGCCATCTCTCCAGCCCATGGACTAGTCATTAACACCTCAAAAATTCCAGGTGAAAACATGGACTAGTCTGCAAAGTCGAAGAAAAGCCTGCTCTCTGGTAAGTTGAAAGCAACAGTATGTGATATTTTACTGAATGTAAATTACTCAAATCCTTACAACTATATAATAAGCCAGCTACATTAAGCACTGAGATCTGGTGATTTTGTTTGTCGCCCATAAGCCCAATGTTTCCTGGCAGAACACTGTTGAAGGTACTTTTTTTTAGTTTGTTTGTTTTAATTTTATTTATGTATTTTTACTCCTACCCCTAAAGTCAGGTACTGTTTTGTTTTAATTTTATTTATGTATTTTTTCTTTTACATATGAGTACTCTATCTGCATGTATACCTGCATGCCAGAAAAGGGCATTGGATCCCATTATAGACAGTTGTGAGCCACCATATGGTTGCTGGGAACTGAACTCACTGGCTGCACACAGTAAGAAACACACCTTTATCTGACTGTAAGAGACAAAACAATGGCAAACCGTATGCAGGAAAAGGTGCTTTCCTCTGGGCCTGAGGATGGGAGTCTGAGCCTCAGAACTCACACAGTGGGAGAAGAGGACCAGCAAGTACAAATGAGGAAGTGTGCATTGTTCTTAAAGAAAGGTGGTAAAGTTGGTTGAATTTAGGGATTTCAGGCTTGGCAACTGGTTCTGAAGAAATTACTGAATAGGAAAAAA